TATAAATTCTTTATTTATATAATATAAAATATTAATAAAATTCTTTACTTAATTACTCTTAGTTCTCTTTTAATAAATTATAATTTTAGTATATTTTAATTATAGTTTATTTGTGATACTAGGACCCTGCCTCTTCTTCTCCCCTCGCTAAGCATTCTTATAACTCTGCTCCCTTTCTCCCTTGTCTTCCTCTCCTTCTACCAATAAAACTTCAGATCTTTTAATACCTTTAGAATACTACTGCCTTAAGGCAGCAGTATTACGACTTCTATTGCCACGTGGTGGCAAAACGACCGCGTAATCAGCTTTAGCCTGGGTTTTTAAGGCCCTATTAGCCTCGGCTATTAATTATTATTAATTATTAGTATAATAGTTCCTAGCAACCTTTATATTCCCTAACTATATAATATAGCTACGCCTACTATAACCCTTATAATAGGTCTTTTTAAGCAAGCTTAGCTATTCTAGCCTTTACTTATAGATTTACCTAAGTTCTTAATTCTTTTATAAATATTCCCGCCAGGTCTTTTAATTTAGATCAGCCTATGGTGCTTTAGAGAAGTGCGCGTCCACTAAGGTCTAGCCCCTACAGTGGATTTTGCCCGACACCTCGGGCACCCTCTTCGAATTTAACATTAACGCCTCCAATAATCCGGAAGTTCGACTGGAATAGCGTCACAACTCCAAGAATGAACCTTGCCACAATAGAGCGCTATCACAACTACGTCAAGCTACGATTAGAAGTCTCAATTCTATCACACGTGCCACTTACGCCATCAGTCACACACGTACATGAGAAGGCACGCAAAGCAGGGCATACTCTAGCTCTAACTGGTGTTACAGCCACAGCTGAGATGAAGGCACTAAAGGAAAATCAGCTTCAACGGTCTACTCTCCTCGATAGGACGTCAGTTATAGGAAGGTATCGTCCTCTTACCGTGGGTGACGCGAGAATTCGAGTTGCCAAGGATGAATATAATAGAGTAGCAGCACAGGAGGATGAGAGGCAGCGTTTGAGGAAGAAAGAAGCTCGCAATGAGGCAGCCTATGTACGCCGCTGGCTTCGGGAGGTTAGATCAATCGTTAGGTCTAGCATCACGAAAATAGCGATGCACGAAGTCCAACAGCAGGGCAACTGGCATAAGAGCGATCGACGCGCTCATCTTAATCGCCTAGACTGGATGTGCCAGCGCTACCGTCTCCATCGCCAACTCTTCTATCACGGTTGGAAGCGTAGCAATACAATTAAGTGGCCTGAAGATTATGATAGTAAGATAATCGGCAAAGCCGTCAACCTGGTGGTTCAAAATGGCCAGGATCGTACAGTAAACCGCCAGGCGCTCTGTCTAGAGACCGATGGGATCGAGATGACGATGGTTGAGGATAGAGAGAGCCCAGTAGGCGACTGTATAATAGTGAAGGAAGCGGAGGAGATTAGGAGCAAAATCAACGGCGTAATGTGTAGTTAAAACCCTATTTTTGGTCCGTAAATGCTGCTGGTGACGTCCAAGATAACAATTCTGATAGTTGAATGCACTGGCTGTACCGGAGACTTTGTGTAGTTATCCAGAAAAACAAAAGTACATGGAGTTCCTAAGGAAATAGCAGGGAAACAAAATATCGAGAATTTCCGAATCACTGACCATTTTCCTACTCAGTGTCCCCCCGTGAGTGTGGAGCACCACGGGGGTCGACTTTAAGAAACCCCCAAGTAATTTCCATCCGTTATAACGTCGGTTATCATGACTCAACTTAGCCGAAAAACAGGTTCGAACGGAAGGAAGTTTTTGATATTAAAAAGAGAGCTGCAGACAGAGTTTGTAGCTGTCATGTTATAAGACTTATTATTAACTAAGCTTATTTATAAAATTTATTATTCTTATTTTTTTAAGTATTATAAATAAAGTTTATAGCTTTTTTTTAATATTAAAAATTTTTTCTTTTATTTAAACTTATTTTTTAGCTAAGTTAAGTTATAATAGCTAATACTATAATAACCAGCTATTATACTAAGCTCTGCGACTTTAGTTTACAGAGGCATTATCCGACAGCAACACTCAACAAAAAAACAAGAATAATAGTGATTTTATAAAAGAAGCTTAGTTAACAATAAGTGTTATAACGTGACACATAAAGAGTGGAATGATACGAAACTAAATACTTGTTGTAACTGCTGCCTGCCAGGCAGGAGTATAGCAATGGCTGTTGCCTTGAATGAGCGACTTGACCTTGACACCGTAGTATTCTTGTCACAACTTTAATTCGAATCTTCTCTGCAGTCTTCCGAGCCACCATGACTTGGCAAGATGGTGCGATACCTTTCCACGTTTAGCATGTGGTTCGTGAAATACAATAGTCCCAGGAGTGCCATTGCTCGCGCAACTGCTCGCGTCTTCCTTTCCGTACTCAAATCTCCGTCCTGAGCCACCATGGCGGTGTATTTTGTAACCAATATTGACCATGGCTGTCTCGAAATCTGACCATGACAGCTCCGATTTATTTTCGGAGCAAGGAGCTGATAATGCGCTCCAGAACCATATATCTCTTACGGGAGTGATTACTGGGAGTGGCCGTGCCTTTGCTATTTGCTCAGGGTTTAGGACAAGAGGCTTGCTCTGGATGTCCCGACGAGTCTTTGATCGCCTTAACTTAGTGACCGTAATTCCAGATTCATCATTCGCCTGACCCACCCAACCTGCATGTGCATGGTTCAGTACCGGTCGCGTCATGTCAACCGGGGCTGCTTGCTGAATCTCGTAGACTACTTCCTCGTTGGCTATGTTTCCTTGAGATGAGGCGACCATGTACCGGTTTATAACTTGCCAGAAATCAAGATGTCGGGACTTGGCGTCGATACTTTGATTGCGGATGTGCCTGTCAAGTTTATGGCGTTCTGTTTCGCCTAACGCAGCGAGAGTCTTCTCCATAACTGACCTCCACGGACGATTCTGCTTCTCCCATTTATTCTCTAGGTCGTTCACCAAATGAATGTGTTCACCTAGAAAAGAGAAAAGAACGGAATGCTTAGATGACTCTTTCAAACAACAGACTAGCACGGACACATCATTTAGCGCCTGCATCATCAAAAATGTGTCTGAGTCCCCGAAATCGACTTTGGCAATTTCCCGATCAGTTACTCTCATAACTGCGGCCATATCCAATATGCGTAGAGCCGGATTGTTTGTTCTTAGCAATTCCAACAGTTGAAGGAGCACTGAAAGATTACCTGTGCCCTTTGGCCATGGCACGCTTTCTAACCAGCAGAGCTGCTCTTCGAGGACAGACACGAGCGCCACATGCAATGATATCAGCAATCCTCGAGCTTCGCTGTCTTTGGAAAGTCCTGAAATATCTAACTCGTGATTCTGGTCCGCAAAAAAGTTATACTTCTCCAAAAGTAACAAATGGCGGCTGAGGGTATGGAATGAGTCGATCCGGCCGAATACCACGCGCAAATGGTTTGAAGTGCGGCCCGGCATTCTTCCTGGGGTCTCGTCCAGGCGATTCATCCACACTCCACAGTCCTGACGCAGCTGCCATAAATCCTCGCGCGCTTCGTCTAGCGAGGCGTTCACGAGATTCCCCAAGTACTTTAAATCAATAGTCCCTGGCCGCCCGTAGTAGTCTAACCGCACGGCGCGTGGCAGGAGAGAAGGGCATTCTTCGTCGCCAGTAATACAAGGCAATGATTCGTTGCCAGATTCCGATGAAGGATCATTCAGCCCAACTAATAAGCAGTCTGCCAGGAATCTGTAGACACGCTGTTGGGCCTCGAGCTGCAAAAGACTCATACCGGGGGTCTCCTCGTTTAAGGTTAACGGGTAAGCCTCTCCATCTATAGCCACACCACGCTCGAGTGAGATACCGTATTCTTCTACACCGGTGATTTCAGGAGCGAACGTAACTATCATTCCCGGGACGCATTTCAGCGACAAATATCCAGTATAAACTCCAGACAGCACAGAGAGGCTGTCAGTATAGCGGAACAGCCGTGGGTGCGTGTTCGCACGAGCATCTAGAAAGTCGGGGAGGACACTGCCATCAGATAAGTCTTCGATATTTAGCAAGGAAGACATAAAGGACGACCTTGAAATAGCCTGGTCGCCTGATTCCAGGCCTTGGGCCCAGGCATAAACATGAGAATGGGGATCCCTAGGAATAGAACGCATCTGCAGCCAGTCTTTTCGGGCTTCTCGTGTCAACTGACGCCATCTTTTCCGAAAGGATGCTCTGCATCCAACGTCTTTCTGCAGTTTGACCCAGTCCTCAGTGATCTTCTGAATGCGCATCGAAATGAAGGCCTCGAACTTTGTCGGGTCCACAGAGTTTTGTGGACTGGGAACTGGGCTCAAATTCTGTAGTGAGTCGAGGCCCGCGGCCCAGTTCGGACCCAACGTACGCCGAAACTGTTGTCCTGCTGGGCTGACTTGTATCATTTTGATTGGGTCATGAGTTACAATATCGATTAAGTTAGTTTTGTCATCGTCATATCCCAGTAGAGTCAAACAGCCCAAGTTCTGCCGTAGACGGCGTTGGAAAACTTCTTCTGCATTTTGGATCCAGGATTCCAAGTTGTTCCAGTCGATGGGTGTGGTAATGCGCTCGATTTTTTCTATGTCTTCCAGTTGCTTGCCGAATTTGAATTGTCTGACCGTTCGAGGCTCATGTTTATTAAGCGGGAGCTGGCCAAAGTTCTCTTTAACTATACGTAAATCATCCCAAATGAGCTGTAGTTGGGAGTTCAGTTGTTCGTGTGAACCAGTCATCACTTCTCCGGACGATCATGCAGAAGTGAAGAAAACAAAGATGAATTGTTGAAGATTTTAGCAAACATCTAAAATTCTTCAACGGAAAGCGGCTGTTGGATGAGCCGATGGCGTAGTAGACAGATCAATGTGGGGTGTCTGGCCGTCTAAGCGTAGTCTGAGTCTGGAGTGCAAGTGTGACGATCGGTCTTGAGCTGTCGATACGTTCTTTTGTCGCTTTGACGCGTGTATGGTTGCGGAAGCGAAGAAAGAGGTATGTAGAACGAGAATCGAGTGGCAGCGGCAGTCGTCGAACACCCGTGACACCCCCTTGCCCTCCTGTGGCCCCCCGTCTAATGGAATTTTCTGTGCTACCAGCCCCACCTGTAAAGCTCATGGTTGCGTGCTAGAGCCGCTCAAATATCTGTGTGTGTGTTAAAAAGAAAATCACCCACAAACTGGACAGAAAAACTCAGTCAATATAAAACAGCCGAGGTGCCGGAAGGGCTTCATGGTACGAGGTACCGGAGCTAGATTCTGACACAACCATCCTGCCTAGGTCTGCTGGCTACTCAAATGACGAAATTAGTCTGGAGTGGCTTCGGCAATTTGAGAGACATTCCGCAAGAACGTTAAAAGCTCGAGTCGTCTGCTGATTCTTAATGGCCACGGCTCACACCACACGACGCAATTCATTGAGTTTCGCGATGAACACGACATCATTCCCTTCGGCATGCCTCTAAACCTCACGCATGTACTCCAACCTCTGGATGTTATTGTTGCATTGCACGGTTGTGATTCTTGTATACTGGTGTCTCTCTTCTTTTCTTCGTTACACAGCGGAAACCAAAGATAGTTAATATCCTCGGAATACTACTGCCACTCAGCCAGAAAAATCGGTTGCGTGTTCGATCAACAGAGGCACCATTATTATCCGACAGTTGTGGGTTTCCAACCATTGAAGCACTACCACACTAAAGCCTTGGATGTTATGTTCGAGACGGTCTTGTCAATTAACCAAGATCGATTTTCTTTCCTGCATCCAAGAAGTCCGAACATAAGCCCTCAGGCCAACTACTATACGCTCCGTGTTCGGAAAACCGGGAATCTGGCCATTCAATCCACAAGTAGTAGTGCAGCTATTGGGGGCTCGTCGGGGTAAAAAGGAGCCTACGCCTCCCACGACTTCAGACCCACGTTCTTCTGTCACGTTATGAGACTCATTGCCAACTAAGCTTTCTTCTTGAATATAAAAATTATTATTATCGTCTCTATCCTTCAAAAGGGTTTATATCTTTTATCTTTAGTTTAAAAGACTTCCCAGCCACCTGATTTTATTAGGGTGGATAACCAGCCTCTTAACTACTAATATCGATGATTTGATAACATCTAGCAATTATGTCAAGTCTGCTTGTTCAACTAACAGAGGCAGCCTTATCCGACAAATAGAGACTATGGCGATCCCGCCCCTCAAGTGTTACGCAACGACCAAGTTTTCAAAGCTTCGCAAGCCCGTACAATGACTCAATACATTTACGCTGGACAGTCTCCCAATTTGACCGCACTCTCGGTAGCGAAAACCTGCGCCCTCAGAGCAGGCTCTTCATCGATGGGTTCTATACCTTTCCAGATGAGGAGACCCAGAAGCCTGGATATTTTGACTTGCTCGCGCTTGTCGTGGGGACATTACTCAGTGCTGGGGTCCACCTGGAGACCACATTCTCATTGACCTGCTTCCACTCAACCATGTAACCTTAACTAACATCGGCAACTCCCCAGGGTCCGATTTGTTCTAGTTTAGCACTACCAATATTGGTGTCGCTTAACTAGATTAGAGTGGTTCTCTAACCCTCGTGTGAAATTCGGCATTGTCCGAGAAGCTGTCCGAGAAGCTGTCCGAGCAGTTGTCCGAGCAGTTGTCCGAGTTGTCCGGCATTTGGCCAACCAGGCCAGGACCCTGGCTCAAGGTGAAGCTGTTCGGGTGGGGTCTCCATACCGCCGTCATTCACGGCCAGTTCCGAGGGGCGTGGACCTGCCCGCCCGGAACGCCACAATGCCACCCCCTGGGCACCTTTGCCCGACGCTTATCGAGTAAGATTTGACCCTACAACGCCCGAACCAATTATGTTGGATAAAATTACTGGCTCGCGGAGCGTGTATGGTCTCGAGAGTTACTAGAGTGCCATGCCAAAAAGGGGCAAAATCGTGAGAATTGCTGCTTAAAAGTGGGAGGGCGGTATTTACCCTTCAGACGTGACTATCATTTCCTTGAGCACGAAATTATTACGTTTTAAGCGGTCTAATTGGAGGGCACTAGTACAAAAAATGCATACAAATATTTAGCTTGCGCCAGCTATAAACTGGTACTTTGAAATCAAAAAGTGTAAACGAAAAACGTAATAATTACGTGCTTAAGGAGATAACTAGTCAAAAGATATTTCATGCTCTTGCGGGACTCGGATTAACACTAGTACCAAACATTTTGTTCGGGCTAGCATCGGGCTTCCTCGCCTCACCAGTGCATTGCTTGGGTTTCAGAAAGCCAAGGCAGATCAAGCCGATAGGCGCCGATGGATATGATGACCAAATTTAGAATTTTTCCCAATATACTCGAGCGTGCTCAATTCCGCACTGTACCGGTTAAGGGTATACCGTTGGATAAAGCTGCCTCTGTCGATAAACAAGCAGCAGACTGGACATAGCTACTGAATGTCATAAAATCATAGATACCAGAAGTTTGAAAGGCTGACCAGACACTCCGATTTCATCAGGTGGCTGGGGAAGCATTCTAACATAAATGGCATGAATCCTTCTGACCTTCATTTCCTGTCACTTCTCTGCAACCAGCCTGTTGCTTGTGTGCATCTTAACGAGCCAGAAGCTCGTAGACTCACATACGCCCTTCCCCACCATACAAGTATCCTGGTACAGAGCACAGGCGTCATGCCTGATGCCCGTGCCTTGATGCATATTAAAAACCCAGAGCTTGATGATCGAATCAAAGACGACTCAAACCAGAGCCTTGCTTTATCCACACGCCCTGGCATAGTGTCCAGGGAAAATGTCGGCCGACGTCGTGGCCATTTGTACCCATTGATTCATGTTGTGTTGGGTCGAAGATTAATGACGCATAAACTTGCCCCCTTTTGTTAGCTTTTTGCGAGCCTCATGGTCCCTGTTCCAGTCACCAATTATACCGGATGTTGGAATACAAGTACAGGAGTGCGTATAGATAACGGTAATGTTATATTTTATCGAGCACCGTCGCGGTTCCAGCAATACTAGCCTCAGCCTAGTTGTCAGACGAGCCAAGCCACGAAGCTGCAATTGCGCTTCGTAGGACTTTTCTCTCTCCGTATCTACTTGACAGGAACATTATATAGGAAGAATTCTCACGCATCACTTGTGTTACGACAGTGTCTTGCGAGCTGGCAGATGTGCACACCACAGGCGTGCTCCCCACGACAAATTACGAAACAACATACCAATAATCACCATCTACTAATTAGAGCGATAGTGAATTAAGCGATCCAGGTAGCAACATTACACTTGCTGAACTGGAGAATGAGTTTGTCATGAGTAGACAGAGGAATAGGGCAGCGCCAAATATGCCAAGCTGGCGCCAAACTTCTGGGGACAATGCGGACAAAGGGATGGAAGACTGGCTAGAGGAGCCAGGAGATTGGCATTCTCGTAAGCGGAAGCATGCTTCTATTGCCAATGCTTTGAGCGAGAGCAGTTGCAGAACTCTTATCCTGCCGCGCCCGAGAACGCGCCCGAGAGATCGCTTAATTCGCCTCCTAGTACAAACAAACTCAAGTCAAATCGTCAAGGTCTCGGTGGCCCAAGAATCAAAGGTATTCTGCTTGGAACCTGGAGGGACTCCAACGTGTCGGATAATGAAAAGAAGCACACTGTTATTGGATTTATCGATGTCAGAGATCATCTACGAACTCGGATCCAGCCTAACACGAAGTACGGGGGAAAACTGCGGGTGGTCGTGTGGCTGCTGAGCACGCTGCCGTTCAAGAGGCCATCCGCCGCGTCAGGGAGAACCCAGCATTAGAGAACCTTGCACAACCGCCTGTTATCTCTTACGGTGTCCAGATGCCGGAATATCCTCTATTCCTTGTTCGCCCTGGCCTTAAGCACAGGTGTGCCTGTTACACGGATAATATGTTACTATAAAGGTATAAGCTAAACCTTAAACCTAATAATAATTATATAAAAGCTTTAATTATAAAACTTAAAATAAGGTTTTTTATTACTTTTTAATATAAATAAAGGTTTTTTATTTTTAAAATTTTAAAAAAAACTAAGAACTTTTAATATTAAAGTAAAGTATTAATTAAATATAAATATTATTTTAAGCCCCTAAATACTAGGCTCTTATTACAAGGGGAAACGTCTCAATCTTACAGCTTGAAAGTTGGACATGTTGAAAGACATGGTTGTTGTCAGGGCAAGGAACGCTGTCCACGCTGGTCATGGTCAATTTTAAGCTGGAAAAAGGAGAAGAGACGTGGTAACGCACTCCAATTTCTTCTGGCCTCTTCAATTGGCTTTACGTCATGGTTCAGGAGAGCGGTCGGTCGCGGCTCATTACGGGGGTGCAAAACCTGTAGCTGGGGTAACATAATTTTAATAATGGTGACAAGTTGAAAAGTTGAAGCCTAGGATGAATCGAGATGTTCTTATAGTAGAGGCAGCCGGCGATCAAGATCTATTCGAGGGAGGCCAGTGACCCTAGAATTAGAGATCTGGCAGATAAGACCCCTCTCCAGATTACCAGATTATTCATGTTGGAGTGTGGTTACACAAGTATCCTCGATAATGCGATATCCTTTCTTTGCGTGGTGTCACGGCGACCCGCGCCCCGGTCTGATCTGAGTTGATTGTCTTTAATAAATGCAGTGCGGCCGGACTAACTCGTATCCATCTCTCTGGAGATGAACAAATCCAGAAGCTATTAGAGTATTTACTCTTACTTGAAATTATAAAAGCAGAGCTTTAAGTAGTATATGTAGTTAGTAAATATAAGAGTCTAATTTATATATAATCTTAGCCCTAATATATAAGACCTAATTAATTATAGCACTTAAATATTAAGTTATTAAAAAATAAAAAGGCTTAATAGTTAAATAAAACTATTCGTAATACTATAACTAAGTTATACTAGGCTGCAAGATCGTAATATACCGCGAGAAAAACATCAAACACATCGCGATACATTAAATATACTAGCCCAGGTAGTTATTTATTACCGCGCGTATTAATAAACGCTACTTTATAATAGCACTGCTTTAATTACTTAAAGCGTCGACGGTAAAGTCAATACAACAGGGACCTCTAACTAGGTCGTGCTCATCGTGCCACCAATTGACCCTTTCTGAGAGGGTCCATGTCCCAACATGGCCTGCTGCAAAATTCTCCGTCGTTCTTTCCTTTTAAAGCCAAGACTTTCAATGTTTTCACCCAAATTTTCCATCTTCCCCAGAGAACGGTCTTCTTTTGGGCGAGATTAGCCACATCATTTCTCCCTCTCTTTACGTTGAAATCCGTTTTTGCACCCATCGCTACGCTTCAACAAACTCCAGAGCCGTCGCTCGACATACTTGCAGCCACAGCGGGCGACCTACGCCAACTGCTTGACTGCGGAAAATGTCTGGTACCAGGGTAGAGTTGGGTCCAGCTTTATCTCGCTCAGATGGCCAGGCACAACCACGCTGACATGAAATTGCATGCCATCACAACGACGGCACCAGTTCAAATGCTTCTTGAAGAAGCCAGGGCCTTGGACCTGGAACGGCGGAAATCCGGTGCCAGGTCGCCACTCCATGGAATCCCCGTCACTTTAAAGGTTTGATAATTGTTCTCTGGCCACCGCCGAAAGTGCTGATTTGACGTGCCAACTTGACGGGAAAGGACTTTTTTCTGGCTCCGTCTTTTGGTCTGGGGACGACTTGTGGATCGTTTGCGTTGAACGGCCTCCATGCTTCTGAAGACGCGGCGATTGCGACCTCACTCAGAGACGCTGGCTGCATCGTACTTGCCCTAGCAAATCTTTCCGTACGCCATCAATTCCTCCGTGAGTTCACTATGGGTCAAGGCGATACTGACATGGTGTAGGAATGGGCGAATTGTAGGGGTGCAAATCTCACCTCACGTTGGTCTGCTGTTGGCGGTCAGGTGAGACTGAGATGACGGAACCATATGCACCTGATTCTTGATAAGCTAATGGTCTGCAGACTCAAACATCGTACGTCCCGGGGGGGTGTTGACCCCAACGGCAAATGGCTGGGCCATAGCGTAAGCCGAGAAGCTCGTCAATCCTCAGCATCTGCTGACCCGGTATCTTGTAGACGCCTGGTGGCTCTTCGTCGGGTTCCGCTGTCGGCACCGCAGCAGGATTCTCTGCCTTTAGCCTCGGCAGTGACTCGGACGGGTCAATCGTGCTGCCGGCAATTCGTGCTGCTTTGTACAGCATGAAGGGTTCCGTGGGGGCTATCGACATGAAGGGAAGCTTGTCTGGGGGCATGGGTTTCGACAGCGCTGGACCGTTGGCCAAGTCTGTTCAGGATTGCGCCGACGTCATGAACATGCTTCTTTCAGGAAGGGATTTCCGCTCACACTTGACCAAATCGTGGGAGGGAATTCGCGTTGCATATCTGGATTACAAGGCTTGGCAATTTGCGGATCGGATATGCGATCAAACGCGAGCTTTTGATGATGAACATGTATGGATTGACAGAGTTCAGGCACGGTACTCGAATGCTCATTTTTTTCTTAGGAAATCGCCATGATTAGCGCCTTGAAAACAGCTGAAGGCCAAGGTGCAAAGGTTTGTTACAACGCAAAGTTGTTGATGCCGGACAAGATTATGGAAAAGTACGGCACAGTTCCAATGTGGACCCTTTATAGTAGGTATCTCATTTGCACAAAGGGGCGTTGACTAAATGGTTCAGACCGTGAGCTACCGTTTGGGTTCAAACGCTTTCTTGCTCTATTATAACAATACCGGGCCCCGTCCACTCCAGGATTTGGTCGATTTCAATAAGAAACATGCTGAGCTGGAATTTCCATATAGTAAGATACTGCTTACCTGATTCTTGTGTACTATTGTGCTAAAGTCTGACTTCTAGATCAGCCCAGCCAAAGCTCATTTGAGAGCGCGCTGGAAGACAACATGAGTGACGGCGAGTACGGCAGCGGCCTTCGGCACCTTCGCCAGAGCTTCCGCGACGTCACAAGAGACCAACGCGTAGGCCAAGGACGCTTACCTGATTTTGCTCTCTCTATGCCCTATAAATATTACAAGACAGTGACGTCTCAGCTCCGTGGTTCCTCCAGTCTGGCCATCTAGCCCCGGGAGGACGACTTCCTCCGTACTTTGATGCGGCCACCAAAAGGCGGCATCATACCAGGGCCAACCCATAGCCGATTTGAAGTACTGTCCTCCATCTTCAGGTCAAAGTTCAATAGCAAATGCGCCGCTATAAGCTTCATCTCGTGCGCGACAAAGAAGCGACCGGGACTAGAGATTTGGATTGGAATTAGCTTGCTTGCCGCACTAGACCTTCTTCTGGTAGACGGCGAATTCAATGCTTACCATGCATGCTTTCCATGGCCAAATGGAAAGTGGTGGTCGTTCATTGTCACCATACCGAGAGGTTTTGCCGCATCATTGCTGGCGTTGTGATGCTCCTCACGCTCCTTGCGCATTGTTGAGAAGCGCAGCGCATCGTACGTGTAGGGGTCCTGGTATAAATCACCATCGTGATGGCTGCCGTCCGCATTCACGGTAAGATGTGCGCCCTTTGGTATCTTCCAACCAAGGCCGGGTAGGCACAAGCCGTCCGATGCCACGACGACGCGTTCCACAAGTGTTAAATGGAAGTTGCTAAGACGCTGCGACTCACGGATGGATGAGTCGACCTGAAGCAGTGATTGCAACGCCTTGGCAGACCAAGATTCGCCAGGGGCCGGCTGATGAGCACGCAGTTCGGCGGTCAGATCTTCAACTGCGGACGGTGTCTTGAGCAGGTCTTGGATCCACAAGACACCCGTGATGACGGTTGTGTCGATGGCTGCGAACTCTATAGGCAGCAGGCGTTTTGAGATGACTATCGGATCCAGCTCTTGGTCGCGATTTTCCTCCAGGGCCAAGCGAACCAGCCAAGTGATGTAATCTTCTGGGGGGGACCAGTTCTGCAGCTCCGGGTCCCCTTTGGCTTTGCGGCTCATGTAGTCAATCCGGGTCTTTATTACAGGTCCAACTCTACGGTATGCCCGCCTCCAATGGATCCAGTTGGATATTGCCAGCATTCTGCCCAGAATAGGGTGTAGAATGAGCGGCACGAAGCGCAGCAGGACGCAGTTTCGCAGTACGGCATGTGTAAACGAAACCATGGCGTTGAGGAACCGTTCGTCGCGACAAAGGGTAGAGCCGACAAGCATCCTGTTGGTCGCGGAGGGCACAATGGCCCGCCACGTGTCCCAGAGGTTGATACTCGTCCAGTCATTGCCAACATCCTTGAGGGCCAAGTCGACAGCATGCTGGACCTCTTTATCCACGCCAGAGACAAGACCTGGCAAGCTGCGGTTTATCGATTTTTGAACGGCCCGCATGCCAAAGGGTGATCGAATAATCTGTGAGTCGAGGAAATTGTAGTCGCCGTAAACACCGACGTTATGGGCCAATCGCGCGTCCACGACACTTTCGGGTTGGTCACGAAGCCATGTGAGCATGGATCGAGGCAGCACGACGTCGTAAGGCCGTGATAAGCCCGACGGGACAAGAAATGGCAGGCCCTTTTTGTTGTACTATCGATGCATGGCTCGGTTAGCAGATGGTCTTGTCCTTGATCGCGCTGCCATGTATAAGACTGTGGACGAGACATGTTTCTACCTTGTTGTATCCATCTTGGATCCATCTTTTCTGGCTGGTAAAGTAACCAATGTTGCTCCTGACATGGGACCAAAAACCACGGCTGTATCTGATGGTGGGTATTTCGTCGGGATACTTTACTAGGAACACGTAGTCGAGCACAAAGCCGACAAGGAAGCCAAGGACCGGAATCAGCAGCCAATACAGCACCGTCATTGCTGCTGTTGGTACAGAAACAAAATCTTGGGGATGCCGTGGGAGCGGTGCTGATGCGGGGGAGTTGGCTGGCAAATAATGCTTGACAAGCTGTTTTGTCGTATTCTGGAACCGAATCAGTCTCTCATCTAGGCATCTTAACGACGTACGGCATACAAGCACAACAAACCTTTTACATTGAGATGTCTACAATGCCAAATAGACTACGAGCAATGCTACTGCAAAACGAGTATAATGAGCTGACTTGTCAAGTTTCAAGTTTGCCTTGTGCGCTTGTCCATGATGTCAAACTAAAATACTGAGCGGTGGCGAAGATTGAAACGTGCTGCGACGCTCCAGAGGGTTAACGTTTCTTTGCTCCGTGCCGTCACATGTAAGGCTCTCGAGGACAAGGTGATGCATGTGGGTTACATGCAACTGATGGACTCAATCAAAGACTGACACGAGTGTCAATTGCAACTGTGACATGGCGCCTCAGGCCGTCTATGCATGTGTGTCCGCATTCTGCCGTTGGCCATTGAACACCAGACTTCTTGCAACGTAGGTTTCTGATTCAACTAGGCTCATTCTATCCTCGTCATCCACATACTGAAGACGGCCACATCAATGTCCAAGAGTCTAGTCATAATAGCAGGCTTTGTCAAACGAGTTCAGAGTCACTCTGACATGTCCATCAGCAGGTGATGAAGAGGACTCGGAGAGTTTGTGTCCTGTGCGGCCGCGTGGCCCACACTCCTGCGGTTTAGTTTCCTCCGAGACCGGTATTTTCAAGTTGATTCCGCCGCATTTTGTCTAGATAAAGTCTTCCTGACTCGTGTGTATTGTAGCATGCTGGCTCGACCCGTGCCGTGATACCGAGTTCCTGGCGTGCGTGGCATCACTGCCGGACTCGTTGCCAAACCCGATACCGTACAATACGCCCTTCCGGGTAATGTCACTGACCCCGTCGCCTCTTTTGGGAATATGTGACGGCCTCGAAAGGTCCGCAGTGGCAGGGATGCATCTAGACGTGCTGCCACATCAGCTGCCATCTGCAGCGTGACTTGTTCCGCTCTTTAGTTCAATGTTCAGATATAGAGCTAGATACAGCGAGGGTATGGTCGCTCTAGTACCTACCATGAGACGCCTGACCTGGCGCATCTATCTCTTCGAAGCTGGGTCAAGCCGTTACAAGCCAGCTGCAGCCTGGATCCTACCTTGCGAGGCAGTCGAGGCAGTCCGAAAGCCCGCGCACCGATCGGCAAGTATTATCCAGAGAGTACTTACATCCACCAGCAGTAGATAAGAGCCCTTCTAGGCAAACTCTTCTCGCGCAATGAGATCCAGCGCCAACTCGGGCATGCCGCCAGCCATGTCTGCTGAGGGCTCTTTTTGGGAAACCTGGACATCAAGCATACTGTCTAAAATAATACCCCCAGCGCGCTCGGCTTCAACAGGAAAGGAAATGGAGACGCCTAGACTTTTCGTTTCAGCTGTCGGCTTCTGTATAGCGCAGACTGCCGTCCCCGGCCTCCTGCTCATCACGACTCCCAAGGGCTCCCGTCTGCGTCACCTATGGATTCCCTGCTCGCTGTGGCTGACGTACCAGTTTTTTCTCTTGTCAAGAGGCGCCTCCAGCATTTCCATTCAATATGCCAACGCGGCAATGCACGTCTTTGTCGCCAGTCTCCAGGCGGGAAACCTCCTCATCTTGAGCCCCGTAGACGAGGGCCATCTTTTGCGGGTTGGACTCTATCCAAGCCAGTCCAGCGGGTTATCCAGGATCTGGCGCACTTCTCGACTCTTTATTGCTTCGCGAGGTATCGGCACCCCGTGGGTTGTTAAGAACATTCCGCAACACCCCGAGGCTCTTGCCGCTCGGGCGAGGCCTCGAATTCCCAAGTCGGCGTTTCTTCTTCGGCAAGCGGTCGTTTTCGCCTGGCAGTACGTTTTGCTGGACGTGTTGTATGTTGTTGCGACTTGGGACGAGTCGTCGGCGGCCGCTTCGACGACACGGTTTGACTACTGGGAGGTGAGGGCGGTAGAATGGCCGCGATATGTTTTCATGGCCTTGTTCTCGTGGTTTGTAGTAGCTAGGGTGCTTATCGATGCGAGTTATCGAGCTGCTGCCTTGGTTGCCGTTGGACTCGGGGGCTCATCAGCTGAAGATTGGCCCCCTTTGTTCGGAAGCATGTGGATGGCATTTACGCTGCGCAACTTTTGGGGGTACGTTCCTCCTCTGACTCTACTGCCATTCAGACGCTTGATATATCCTGATGTCGTAAATGTGGTTGTACCGTGGCTTTGGTTATGATTCTAATGTTTCTTTGCGAATTGCAGCAAGTTCTGGCACCAGTTCCTGCGGTGGCCGTTCACATCTACGGCGAATTACCTGGCAAGAGATCTTCTCAGACTTCCTCGACCGTCTCCCGTGGAGAGGTACCTCAACACCTTTTTTGTGTTTCTTTTGTCGGGTCTTTTGCACGTCATGGTGGATTCTGTGCAGGGCGTGCTACCTAGTGAATCTGGGGCCATGACTTTTTTCCCTCTGTTCACGCTAGGGTTCATGATTGAAGATGGTATCCAGGAGGCTTGGAATAGACTGCGTGTTTCCAGACAAACGCATCAGGCGGATCTACGTACTATGCTTTGGCAACAAACGTTGGGCTTCGTGTGGGTTATCACCTGGATGTCTGTGACATCACCGCCTTACCTTTTGGCCTCACGCCAGTCATCTGAGGAAAATCGACAATTGGTTCCCTTTAGCGTTGTGCGAGTTACAGGCGTCTATGCGGGCGTAATTTGGATACTTGTAGGAGGGGTCATGGTCAAGGTAATATTTGGGGGCGAGCCATGATCGCTCGGGAGGAGGGAACTTTTAGCTGCCACGCTCGGTGAGATTTCTCCAAGATGCGTCCATTGGTGGAACTGAACGGATCTGCAGAATAATGAAAGTACAATAAAGTATTCTGCTATGCTGAATCCCTTGACTCACCACCCTGTCGACTATGAACTGGAAGTGGAGATTATAGATGTATCGCGAAGTAATTCAAGGCATGGATAGACCTGGGCCCATGGAACGACACGGCGTCCCCATCGCAAGGAGATGGTGCATATGCGGCTCATTCACATCCGCAATAAAACAAATGTGTATTTTGGAAGTTACAAACCTGACTTTGGCAGCGCGTAAAGCTAACGTAGCCCTGAACAATGGGATGAGTTAGTTTGGGATTCTTCCTCACACACGTCCACATGCAGCTCAACACGCGTATAGAAGTTGACATACGTCGACATGAGGTACATAGTACATGCAAGACGGGGTTCCTCTACCACGTGGCTTTTTTTTCTTTTTTTACTCTTTACTCTCATGCAAGCCTTGGGCTTATGGAAAGGTCAATCTACTACCACGTGGCGTATTTGGAGACCAAAGTTGAAATAAACGCCGCGTCTTTAAAATGTCTCAACTTGACGATGGAGTGGCCTCGCGATTGGCGGCAAAATCATGACATTCACAAAGCCATTGCCATTATTCATCCGCAGCTGCCCAAAAAGAGTGTCTTATTGGGAACACCAGTACGGACCTAGTGTGTAACATGTGCTATCTGTTGCATCATAAAGCCAATAGAAGGATTCTTCCCCCATCTTTCAAATTTTCTTCTATTCTCTCACGTATCTAATAACATCGTAGAGGTCCGTCATGCGGCACCATTGACGCAGGTTGCACGACAGAGTATAAGCCCGAGAAGCCTGCTTCCACCGACCCAAGTAACACGAGCGCAAATAGCCTGCGGAATGCATGGTCCCGTCGGTAGTTGCGTCCGTTTATCATCCCTTTGTGAAACCAAGGGACTCATAATGGCGTTTTAACAGGACAAGCCAAACTGGGCGTCAAGTGCAAAGCGAACTCAGTAGGAGCTCCTGGGGGAGTGCATTCCCCCGCTGCGTTTAATGCGCGCAGGCGGAAGTTGTCTTGAGGTGGTTAGCGGTGTTTATTGATATGATTGATAAGGAGTCTCTTTACCTTTATAACCACACAGGCAACTTTGGGAAAAGTCAGAAAAATTGCATTCCTTCGAGATTGGCATTATCCAGCAATTGCTGAGGTCTTCTCGATCGGCTAGTTCGCCCGGCACCGCAGACGCAGCCGAGATGACAAGCCCGGATAGTAAAAAGCGGGAAAAGATGGCCGTCTTCATCGTTGGAACTTGGTGCAGTTTGGTCTTGGTATACGTGTCGTGTCGTGGCCCGTGGGTAGTCGTGGGTGATGATGAAGAAACAAGCTCGAGTATGCAGACAAGCACGAAACTCGACCTGCATCAATGTATTTATACATCTGGTACCTTTCCACCCGTGCCTTTTACTTCCGCCCGCCCCGGCAGCAGTTTGCTACACCATTGTACAGGGCTACAAAGGCAGCAGATGCCGTCCAAAGAGCCAAATGCTTGCATGTGCAGCGCCAGCGACAAAGAAGCAGCAAATCCTCAGTGCTCCTCAAACAGCCCTCATTGTCCCCTAAACACACGCGGTGCTTTGCACAATGGCCAGTCCGCCCCGTGTGTGGTCAGAGCAGCCACCCGCCGTTTTTGTCGCGCATTGTAGCGGCCAGCAACGCCAGACGCCGCACGTCGGGGGCGATTGTCTGGCCCTTTAGGCCTTTTCTTCGTGTCAATGCTTCTTTCTCCGTCTGCCGTGCGGCGTCGGCGCCTCTGACGCGTCCATGTTTCACGGCTCCATGCCTCTGACGACGCGCCGTAGACGACAAAGACGGGCCGCTGATCCGTGGGCGCAGACGCAGACCGTTTTTCCACCGCATGTGCGGCTGTGGATATAAATGTCGGTTCAATGTTTCGGCTTACCTCATGTTGCACGTTGAAACTGCGTCGCTGACGGGTGGTCGAAAATTCGCGACGAGGGCGTTTCTTTTCATGTCTGGAAGTTCACTGCTTCGGCAGGGCGAGGGTTTTTCCCCGTCTTCCTTTGAATGGAAAAGTGATACGTCGGATGCTTAATTACGTGGTGTTTCCTGGCGTCGCTTGCTCGCTTGCTTTCGGGTATTTGTAGGCTTCAATGTTGTTTTATAAATGAGCTTGATGTTCCCCCGTGCCGCACATGTCAAATCGCCAATAATCCTCCCCATGTACGCCGGTAGTAAATTCGATCGCGCAAGCCAAACAAGCATCTATATATACAAAGGGCACACTGGCCTCTGCGTCACTCCAAGCATGAAAGCTCGTCATTTCGCCGCCATTTTCCTGTGTCCAAGATCCTCGGCCAGACCGCAATCCCTTTCGTCCACCGACATAAATGGGAGCCATGGGACGACGGCCCCAGACATTGGTTTGCTCAACGCGCAAAGAGATAACTGTCGTCCTTAGTACGTGCCTTATACTCTCGATTCTTCCGCCCTGGACAATGTCTAACGTATTGGGGCTTCTGCAGCGACTTCTCCCGCTGCGGCATAACGCACAGCACGTGTCTCTGTGACGAGAGTAAGAATACGCCATGCGCAGCGTCGTTTCGAGATTGCACTGACGCAGCGTAGGACAAGTTTACAAAGCTCATGATGCGTATCCTTCCCCCCGGGATCTATGTAATCCCCCCGGGCATTTTTTGGGCTTGACGTTTGATAACGCCACGCCGCCGCGGTGCCCTGTCGAAGCACCTGCTCAGAAACTGAGATGAATATCTACTCCTGCTGGTTTTGGCTACAATGGTGCTTATACTGCAGTGAGCCTCTTGCTTCCTCGCAATCTTCCATTTGTTTCTCCAGAGCCGGTGTGTAGTCAAACAGGGCAGCAATCACTTCATCAGAGCCAGGGCCCATATTGAAATGGAGTACAGCAGCGTATTACGAAAAGGCAAACAGAGCCCCGTCGCTCTCGCCCTTTCTTCTATTTATGTACACAAAAAAATCTAATGCTTAGTAAATATCACCACGTCTTGCACATGCTATATGCTGTCCTTCATGCATCCCAACAGACTGTTCACCAGATAGCGCCTGCACCTCCAACCAAAATGTTCCAATTGTCATGTTGACAAACTCGCCCCCCCCCCCCCCCCC